GTGATGTGATTATAAGATGAAAAGCAGTGAGGCCTGGGAGCTGTTCACAATAGTTGCTAAGGTTGAACCAGGACTTTCCGAGCTGATATTTGAATTTTTTCTTAAAAAGAGTGAGACACCAGTTTCTTGACAATCTTGTCAACATTAGGATTTTTCTCACAGGGACAAATGTACAGTGCTGTGTCGACACTTGACATGTATTTATGTTAGTTGTTGGAATTGAAGTGTGCAGATTTGTGAGGGCACAGAAAATATGATTTTCTGTGAAAATTATATTTTCAACACACCTCCACTGAAAGTTTCCAGTGGAGGTGTGTTGCTGTATGCTGCTCTAATATGGAGATTGGTTACATTTATATTTATGTAGCTCATGAGAAGAGACTGAGATGATGCAGTTAACGCCCAGCAGCATTCACTGTGTTTTCTAACTTGCAGCACAATAACAGTGTTCAAGCAACTTAGAGGTTGTAAGTATGACAACATGTGCTGCTTTTCAAGACAACACACCACAAAGTGGACACAGCCCAAAATGACAGCGATAAGAGCAGCCACTTTCATGACTGCACAATGGCCTGATTGAGTACAAAATGTATAGAAACATATAAATATAAGATAAGCCCAAATGTCAGACCAACCCAATGGGAAATGTTCCTGTGCTCCCAATGAGCCAATCTGGTCCTACTGTCTGCTATCACAGAGCTGAGTAGCTATGAGTTTAATCATGAGCAGAGTCAGGAGAACATGCGTCAACTTCTGCAGTGGGGTGACCAAGATGTAGCAGACCTGCAAACAGAACATCTCTCTGAAGAATGGCCAGTAATAGCAAAGTGAGAAATGGTGCAACATTCTGTCAGAGGTACCACTTTGTGGCTGAAGATGACCTTCCATACGTTTCCAACAGTGTAACATGCTGGAATTGTGTAATATTAGTTTGCCATGATGTGCATTTTACTCTTAAATAAAGAAGAACATTCACCAGTTAGAGTGAGACTGACAAGGATCAAAGGATCTGAGAAGGACCAAAGGCTTAAACAAGTGCAAATATATTTTTATTCCTTAATAAAAACAGCAGGGCCCTGCTGTTGAGAGAGATTCCTCCAGAAGAAAGGATCTCTGACTGTCCCCCTCCTCTGAGACCGGCCCTCCTCTGGTATCGGTCGACCTCTCCAGCTCCAACACTCTCTGCTCGGTCATGTGGATCTCACTCATGTATATTCTGCTTCGCCAGCAGCAGGACTCTTTTGGAAACCAAAATCCTAGTTGAAATGCCGTCTCCATGACTAACTGTCATCTTCTCTCAAATCTGCAAACCTTAAATTATTCCACTGTGTAACTTCACATGTATCAAGGAATCATTGCTCATTAGACTCTAAAAAGGCATGTCCCTGTAGAGGCAGGTATCGTGGCACCACTAGACGTATCCACTGCTTCAATTCTTTCCTGATGGGACAGAGACCCTGTAGAACCTGGTGGAACTTGGCACAAAAGTCCCAGACTAAGGCGACAACCTGAGAGTGGATGACTAGAAAAAGCACATCTGAAACAGCTTTTAGACCTCTGTGACATAATCATTTTAAATCTCTGCATATTACCCAGCTTTTCTTACTGTTTGTATTTAGAACCCCCCCCAAAAAAACAAAAAAAACCAAACACGACCTCATTTTTACCTCATCCACACCGATGACAAATCCACAATTGTCTTCCACTGACTCATGATAAAACCCTCCTCCAGCGATGTAATCAAAGTAATCTCTTCAGTGTCTCTTCCAGCTGTGCCCAGTTGCTAATTCACAGTTTTGATTGCGCAGCTCATTTTACCTGATCAGGTTGTTTTCAATCTCAGTAGGAAAAGCAGCAGGGCTGAAAAACTTTGTCAAAGAGGCCAGACAGGAAGGGGCCTCCTCAGGTAATCTGTTCACTGGAGGAACACAAAGTGGTGTCAGAGTCTAGAAGTGGGACTAAAAAGATGAATAAAAGCACAATGTGTGGTTCATAGAATACTGCATATAAAAATATGCCAAGCTTTGAGTGATGGCTGGAACATTTAAATATATTTTAATAAAGTGAGTCCAGAGATGATGATGATGATGATGATGATGATGATGAGGATGACAGCAGTCACAGTTTGTATTTCTTATAGAAAACAGGAGCTGTGCTCTGAGACCTTTCCCTGACTATGAGAGTTTGGGAGATGCATGACTAACCCGCTCCTGTGTAGTTTGGCCTGAAAGGTCGCTTTGTTCTGTTACATAAGCCGCAGCAGGAGGGATTTCTGACAGCCTGAGGTTAGTTCTTGCTGCTAGTTGGCCCAGAAGACCTCTGCTCCACATGCCGGCACCGTGGGTAGTTTATGGTGTGGTGACAGCTCCCGGCATTTAAGGATTCCTAGTGGAGATGTGAAAAGAAATGTCTGGGTTTTATGGCTGCTTCAGAAAACTGGGATACATTTACATGTTTATGTTTTATTTGGTTGAATCCAGCCAGCAGGTGTTGGAGACGGCAGGTGAACCAGCAGTGGTGATGGATGTGGTGTAGACAAAGACTTTGAGGTTGGAGGCAGTTGGACCCTATAGCTGATGATACTAGGAAGAATAAGGAATAATAATAATAATAATAATAATAATAATAATAATAATAATAATAATAAGGAAGAATAACTTTTTCTCCCAATGATTTATTTTCACTAAACAACGAATAACATGCTTTTCTAATTTTTTCACAAACATGGAATTTTCAATCCAATAAATTCAATGTGTATTGTTTCTGTTAAACTAATACGCTTCGCTGTGTCAGTGTGAGCCAGATTCACTCCGTCTCCTCCTGATAGGGAGCAGAAATGTTTCAGCTTTCTAAGAGTCTGGGGAGCGTGAGTCGAATTAAAATCACAATATGTTTGATTGTATCGGTTTGATCTGTTTCCACTCAGAAATGTTGGCAAGCTAGCATGTTTAATGACGCAAACTGCTGCAAACATGTTTGCTACAATGCAGTGGCTGCAGAGTGTCGTCTGCTGGATGATAAAACATCCTGAGGCAAACGCTGCACAGTAGGTGGAGTATAATTAATCCCCAGGTTTGTTCACTATACATTACCATGCTGACCTTCATCCTCCAAAAGGACCATAAAAGAGCCATTGTTAATTATAATCCATTGCATGAACGGTCAGGGGAAAATAACATACTAGCCGCACAGCGTTGGTCATTTATCTCCTTCCAAAGTGAGTTGCAGCATCATGACTCCATGCGTTTCTCATTATTTTTTAGCAAAGCTTTGCGTGTAGTCAGGAGCCATACGGTAAAGCCAGCAGTGATGCTTTTGTTCAGGTTTAGGGAGGATTCGTTGAGTTTAAAGCTGCAGTCATTAGCAGCAGCTTTGCTGTAACACCTGTAAACCGTTTAAGGAAGAAACAAAGTTCAGCCCCAAAGACACAGAGAGAAATTGTCCTACTGTAATTAGATGAAGCATACTAACTTCATTTGTCCTCATTGTAATAAGGCCAGCACCAACAGGCTACTGCAGTTTAATATATCACCGGGGGAGCAGAAGACAGGAGAGAAGGTCTTGACTGAGTCGCTGATGGGTCGGCCTTTGTCAGGGTTTGAAACTGGAAAATAAACTTTTTTCTTTAAATGTTGCTAATTTGATCGGCGATCATGGTCACCACTTGCTCAGTGTTTTTCACCTTTGTGTGTGGCTTGGTTTGGATTCCTTATGATGGTTAGCACTTTCAACTCCTTTGTTGTTGTACAAATAAATCTGATTGATTGATTAATGATTAAATTGAGTTTAATGGTTGGGTTTTTTGACCACAGTGCTCAGCCACAGGACTCCTGGAATAATTAAATATATTTTTAAATAAAGGTTTTTTTTTACAACATTTTGTTACATTCATTATTTAAAAAGGTAATAATTTAATGGGGCATTTAATTGTTTAATGGCAAATTTTATAACTTCACCATATATTTATTGATTTACTTAAAATCAAAGGCATATTTCCTTATTATTTAGTGATACATTTAATTATTTTATGATGTTTTAAATAATTTTATGATAGACTTAATTAATTAATGGAATATTTACACAAACATATTTTATGATATGTTTATTTATTTAATTTTGTCTCTCTTAAGCCTCCATACACTAATGTGGCAAGTAAAACAGCTGGAGTGAAGCAAGGCCAGCTCCACAATATACACTCTAAACATGTGAGAACCAAAGAACATTCAGTTCACAGTGAGTTTGACTTTCTTCCATCTGGCTGCTGCTTTAAGATGCTTAATGTCAGAATTAGAGTTTACATTAGACATAAAAATCCAACCCAACTTACACCTTTCCTTCCTCAAGAACATCGGCTACCAAAGTCCTGTATTTACTCTATAACTAGATTACCATTACTGTAGTGTGGTAATCTACACAGCTTCCACACTATAACACGTTATATTGTGCATTATCATTTGGATTTCTCTGTGTTGCATTGACTTGCCAGAGAAGTCAACTCTATGGGGAATTTTTCTGCCATAATACGAGAACACACATTTTCAGTCTGAAAGCAGCATTTCATGTCTTTTGCTCTCAAAACTTTGACCACTTTTGTTTATATTTTCATTTTGAAAGCAAGACTTCATGTCTTTCTTTTCAAATATTGTAATATTTACTCAAACCTTTCCCCTTGTGCTCTCGCAGAACTCTCTTCTTGCTTACAAAGCAATCTGCACTTGGAGTTGGTTTCCCATTAGAATATTAATAAACTGAACTAAACTGGGATCTTCTGTGTTATTGTGACTTTGACAACCTCAAAGTCACAACAATAATTAATGAAATCCAGCATTAATGTTGTTAATGTGCGAACGGGTCAGAATATTTTCAAAATTCTCCACTTTTTAGCACCTTGCAGTCGACGAAAGAAATGATGCAGGGATGCCATTAAATAGAAAATACACATTTCTGTAGCTTCACCAAGTCAGTATCACCTACTGAACACGGACAGAAATAAAACCATGTAGTATACAGATAAACTTTATTAGTATCAAAATCACCAAATATGCAGTAATGTTAATCCCTATGATCCCGTTCACAATAAGCACGATTTCTACCAGTACAGTTGAATGCTTTTACCCTTTTACGACATTTATCACTCCTACTCTCTCTACCCTAACCTTCTAAAATATAATGCTCAGTTTGAAGTTGATGAAAATCAAAAATAACGTTACATAAGCACATTATTTTCGATTGTTCCCCAAAATACAATCAGAGCCCGACTGGAGGTCGTAGAGCTTTCTAAGCATCCATCCATCCGTCCGTCCGTCCATCCATCCATCACCCTCATCAAACCCAATCAGGCTCCCAGCTGAGCCCCGGCAATCTTCATGGGAGCCAGCCAGCAGGAAGCAGCGGAGAAGACCCAACAATGCTCGTTAATAATTTAATCTGTCGTCCGTTCTTAATAACAAAACAACAGGAGAGGAGCAGCAGAGACAAATGATTTGATTCGTGCAATTATGTTCTCAGGAAATGGAAAATGGCTGCTCCAGTGAGCAAGGTGTGTGTGACGTTGAAGCACAGATCTGTTGCAGTCAGCTTTTCTGCAACAGATTTGTGCCCATATGAATGCAGAGCCTCTTGACATCTGAGTTATGTTTTTCATGCTTGAGGGTAGTCCTCTGTTTCCCGGGGAAGATTGCTGGAGCTCTTCAGCAGGGCTCTCTGCTTGGCTCCTTTAAACAAACAGCAGCTGCTTTTCTCAAAGCCTCTTGTGAAAAACTCACCGCCCCCCTCAAAACATTCATTCTAGCTTTACTTGTTTTTGTAACACTTAGAGGTTTGCGCATGATCAAACAATTTTTTACATCAGAAATAATAAGAGTAAATATAAAAAGCTGTTTCCCATGCTATGTAAGTTCTATAAACGATATGTTTTTCACATCGTTTAGAAAACCTTCATCATGCTGTGGCATGAAACAAAAAAAAGATTGCCTCCACTTCCTCCCAGTGCTCCTAATGACAATCTGCAGAAACACGCCAATCAGAAACAACCAATCAGAGCCAGGTAAAGGGTCTTAGCGCTGTCATTAAGGTTGTCTACATGCTGCTCCATGTGCTGATGATGGATAAACAACTTAGTGTTCCAAGAAAACTGGCATTGATAATTATACAAACTAGCTTGAGAACTCCCGGTGGGTTGGAGTCCTTGTCAAATAGTATTTTGACTAAAGTACCAAAGGGTTGGAGGCCCAGCTGATACTTCTCAGCGAAATTCCCAGGTTGGAGTCCTTGTCAGAACAACTTGACTAAATTCCAAAGGGTTGGAGGCCCAGCTGATACTCCTCAGCAAAATTCTAAAGTGTTGGAGGCCCAGCTGATACTTCTCAGCTAAATTCCCAGGTTGGAGGCCTTGTCAGAACAACTTGACTAAATTCCAAAGGGTTGGAGACCCAGCTGATATTTCTCAGCTAAATTCCTAGGTTGGAGTCCTTGTCAAATAGTATTTTGACTAAAGTACCAAAGGGTTGGAGGCACGGCTGATACTTCTCAGCTAAATTCCCAGGTTGGAGGCCTTGTCAGAACAACTTGACTAAATTCCCAGAGGGTGTAGAATCCTAGTTGGTTCAACTAAAATCTACAAGAGAGGTGTTTTTAGAGCCCCTCTTTTTATGAGGACTTCCCATAAGGAAGAATCCTCACACTGATAGAAAATTGTTTGTTGTTTATTGCTGTGTCATTGCTGTTGTGTGTGTGTGCATGCAAGAGTGAGTGGTGCTCATCTCTCTCTGTGAGTAAAACTTTCTGACCTCGGAATTAGAATCCTAAGTGAAGAACCGGACTGAGGCTAGTCTTTATTCTATGTTGCATGACTTTGTGTTTTGTGTTTTTGATGTAAAGCACTTTGAAATGCCTTGTTGCTGAAATGTGCTATACAAATAAAATTTGATTTGATTTTGATTTTGCAGTCTGGGGAATTAGGTATAGCCTAGCACAGAGCTAGTGGGAGGGTGTGCGCTGTGCATACACCAGGATGATTGACAGCGCTAAGACCTTCCTGCTGGCTCTGATTGGTTGTTTCTGACAGTGTGTACGATTTTTACATTGACTGTAAAACCAGAGGAGGAGCTGGGTTTTTCTCAGATTCTCACAAATATATTGTCAAGACATGGTGGTAGTTCACTAATACGTTAAAAACATGTCATTTATCAAAGTTACAAATGTTACAAACTTTAAAGAAAAATATGAGATGAACACGGCCCTGTATAAAACCATGTTGTCCCCTAAACCTAATGGTTGTTTTGGCTCTGGCTACGACAACAGCATCGAACATTTGCCAACTGGCAGTGAGTCTTTCACATCACTGAGAACTGCTGGCACAATGTTATGTTTACTGAAATGCTGTTAGTTTTACACCGGATGTAAGAGTACAGACAGATATCCCCATAAAAGACAAATGTTGCTTTTTGAGACCTCTTTCCCGTCTCCATATTGTCAGATTCTAGATTCTTTTGGTTCGGCAACTGATAGGCTCAGGGAGTAGTGGGTGAAACTGGCCTGATATTGTGGTTTATTATGTTGGTATTTTATGAAGAACAAATATGTTTTCACATGAGACCAGGTTGCGTGATCCAGGTTTTTTTTTTTTTTTGACATCAAAAATAATAATTTGGAAACAACTTTTTGTATTCATTCATGTAATCTCTGTCTGATATTAAAACTTATTCCATGATCAGAAACATTTAAGTGATGACAAAATAGCAACAGCAAAAAAAAATATGTAAGGGAGCAAATACTCCTCACAGCACTGTTTGTATCACAATATTTGTACCTGAGAGACATGCTTATAAATATTTTGTATAACTTGTACATTTTGATATCAATTACCAATGTGTGCTTGTAACAAACTTCCTCCCCTACAGTTTGTGGCTGTTTTAAACATCGTTAAACTTTCAAAATATCAAACTGGATCCAAGAATGGACTATTGTTTAATAGAAACCTGCTTTCAAATTAATGTTTGCAAGGGGTTTACATCATGTGTGGACAACAGAATAGTGAGTGGATGATGTGATAATCAGAGCACAGACTAGAATAAATAAACGAATACAATGTCATTTGACTCTCATAAAACTGTTGCTGAGCTGCAGCTAATAGACCACCCGGTCACAACCAACAACTTTTCTTTTCAACGGTTGGAGAAATGAGAAAGTGTGCAATTATTTTCCAGGATCTGACCTTTAGTCAAAGACAGCATGAAGAGAAAAAAACCCCTCCAAAAAACAGAGAAAGCAGCATGGCTAGTGCAGCGTTTGGTGCAGCGGGGAATTGCAGCAGAATGTAAAGGAGCCATGCAGTGAGCGCGGCGCTCTCCCTGGGCTGTTTCTGCTCTGCGACGGCAGCGCCGTGTTTACAAAAACAACATCCTCCAAAGATATCACAGAATAACACAATAGTGCGAACAGTGGTCCTTATCTTACGCATACAAATAAAGAAGTGAACAAATTCACACAGAAATATCATCAGACGGCGTATTGCCTCAAAGGTGAACAACACAGAAAACACTTGAAGGATCACAGCCAGACCGTGACGCTGGCGCTTTTATTGAGCGCTGAGAAAGATGGATGTGAAGTCAGGAGGAATCACACCCCTTCCTCCAAAACAATGTGACATACTCTGCATTTCTCAACTCTCTGACAGAGCTGAGAAGAAGGAGGTAAAAATAATCATAATAATAGAAAAAAAGACCTCAAAAAACGTCTCAAGCTGCTTCCCCTCCTTTTGTATCTTTGTGAGGACATATTTGGTATGGAGCTGCAGACTTTCAGAGGGGAAGTGGAGGGTAAATATAATGGAGGACAGGGCCAGCTCAGCAGAACCTTCCTACAAAGCGATGTAAATGTCAATCATCCTCTATGACTCCATGGTTATTCAGTACAGGCACCGGCAGCTTTAAAATTCTCCAATTAAGTAGAAGTTTCAAATCAGCAAATTTGTAGAAACCTCAACACTGAGGCAGCTTGTTGTTTAGATGGAGGTTCGACTGCCATTGCTGCTGATGCAGGGAGCCCAGCAACATTGTTTCACACAGCAGTGTGTTTTTAAAAATGTCATCTTTATTGTGGTTTTGGTAAACATGTAGTACACAGATGTCTTTTTGCACCTGGAGCTACCGATCTGATGAGGTGTGCAGGTATGTATGGACTAATAGACCTGATAGGACGAAATCAAGCTGTCCTCTGCTTTTTCACGATGTCATACACAAAGTCATCAGAGGAAGGCACAGGAAGGGCTTCGGTGTGAAAGAAAGACAAACTCTCATGTTTTCATACTATTTCCCATCAGGCTGTTTTCTTATGAACATCTTTTTTTTGTTTTCTTTTCATTTCTAATTTTCAAAAAAGTTCCTCGTAAGTGTGTCATTATGAAAACAAACCAGGAACTACACCAGGCATAACATCGACTGCTTACTTGACTCCAAAAAGTTTCTTTGTAAAGAGAACAGCTGACAATAGTAACTACTTGGTGCACGAAGCACATTTCAACACATTAAGAATCACAACAGAATGCAACGTTGAAATACTTTGTTTCAGAGTCACTCCTTCACCAGTTTGTTCCCACTACTTTCAAATTATTACAACTATTTATTTATGTCACATCTTATTTCTACTGATTGTGGTTCTAATCCAACATGATTTCTGATCAAATTGACAGTGGAAGATATTTAGTGTTATTTCAATGATATAACTCCCTGTGGGTAAATCACAAATCACTCTAAATATCTGCAGTCATTCTAAAGACATCTGAAAACCTCAAAAGGTCTTGAGCAGAGTCTTCAGTCCATTGATGTAAACCAGTTTAGAACCACAAAACATCTCCCAAAAGAACATTCTAATTTTTGCAGAACCATCAATTTATTTCTATTATAGATCTTTAAAATTAAATTAAATACAAATAAATAAAACATAATACTTTGGGAATAGAGGACAAATACATTTTCTTCAATGTGGTAATATTTGTAGAAACCTCATGACAAGAAAATTAGATCTGAAGATAAATTATGCTTTTATCATTCTGTTGTGAAAATTCAACATTTTTCAATAAAAAAAACTGAAAAACTGCCAACATCTACATTTGTTATAATGTCTATAGTTAAAAACACAAAAGTGGACCATCAGTATTTGTGGGGGTTAGTGGCCACAGCTACCCAGGAATAGATAAAATCCACAAATACATTATTGTCCCTCTAAAAGCAAATGTAACTGCATAACATAATAATTAAAACGCCAGATATACCTTAATATACATAAATATGAACAGCAGAAACCATTTTAGCACAACCGCAAAAGTTAATATCTACATTCTTCCTCCTCTACCACCTTGAGGGGTCGACCAATCAACACCCAGGAAAATGAAAGGTGCTTCTGGACTGGCTGCTTTGCAAATGCTAGCCAACAGCGTGTCAAATAGCCATGGTCTTTAAGCTTCCCAACCTGCACTTTCTTTAGAATATTTCAGATATGCTTGAGGAAAAAAAAAAAAATCCATGAATATATGCGAATAATTTGCAGTTTTATTCAAAAGAAAAATCTGTAAATTCTAACCTGCTAATAGGCGGGAGTGCACTGTAGTCGGCTGTAGCCAAAGTTATTAAGAGCCACTGTGGAAAGTCCAAAGTAGGGATGAAAAATATGTTTTTGAATTTTTTTTACATATTGACATGAGTCTGATATGTAAAACTGTACCAATATTAACAACTCATGTTTGTCTCCATCTTTTTGCCTATGGTTTCTGGAAGCCAATCATGTAGCATTTATTTGGACATGTGACAGAGACAGTCATGCAGTGAAGGATTGTGTGGAGTTAAGCTGAAGTTAAGTCAGCGCTGTGGTCATTTCTTTCAAAGTGTTGAAGGGATAGTGAAATATATATATTTATATTTCCAATATTAATATCGGATATCAGTATCATCCCAAACTTCATCATAGGTGCATCCCTAGTTCCTTGTGGCTCCAGAGCCGCAGGAACTGAGCTTGAGCAAAGACACCAGCAGAATCAATCAATTTTAAAAGAATCACAAAATTCTTTTAAATAGCCTGCTGTGTCACCTTTAATCTCAACCAACGCGACTGAAATTAATGTTCAACTTTGACAAGCCCAGATCTCCAACTGATTTGACCAGAGTGTTTAGCATTCTTTACACGAGTGTCTATGTAGCAAACATTAAAACACCTAAACATAATTACAGACAGCAGAACTCATACCTGCAGTAATGTATTAATCTGTGATGTCACTGAAGCAGCAATAATCATGGCTGATGCTTGCTTTCAAATGATTAGCTAATGTTTTAAATTTTATACATTTGAGTTTTTATGTATTTGTTTGAAAAATGCCAGAAAAAGTGGCATTTCTGCTCAAAGATATGATACAACAATAAATCTCCAGTCTCATCATAAGACACCAAGAAATACCATGAATGTTAAAGTCCAACTCTGGGGAGCAACACTGAACCACCAGAGGGCGCCTTTTAAATCCTTCTGTATTTCTGTCAAACAGCTCAAAACGCTCCAATAAAAAAACAACACAAAAAGGAAGAAAGTAAGTATTGCCTTTACTAATCATTGCTACTTTGTAAGATCTAAGATAAATCTTAAAAAAATAATAACAATAATCATTTGAAAAACTACTAAAAATATTGAAAATAAACTAAATATACAAATAAGTCTATGCATCACCTACTTCATATGAAGGTTGTCTACCTGCAGATCTTCACAGGCTACCAAGGGAAACACGCTTTGAGCACAACACATGCAGCTAAAACACACACAGGTGGTAAGAAAAAGGCACCTGTGCGCCAGCATTTCAAGAAAGAGCAGCTAAAACTGCCTCAGCGGGTTTGACTACCGCACATCGCCGCCAGGCACACAAACATGCACGAGTGCATCTACGTGTTCAGCTACTGCCGACTCCGTGAGAACGCCAAGCAAAAAGTCTCTGCGCTGCAGAAAGGACGTGACGTCCCACTGAGGATGTGTGGCTTATAAAAGGCCTTCAACTTCTGATCTACAGTTAGTTGTACAGTAAGTCTAAGAGATTTCACCTGAGTTCATACAACAGTCTGTACGAAATACTAACATGTTTACCTGGAGGTTTCGGCTCCAGAAAAAAAGCTTCAGCTTATTCAATTTGTAAATCTAAATGTATTGTACGAATAAAAGCTGTTTCTTAACGCGATGCCACAGAGAGGTTGAAAACCTATTTTTAAGATGCTTTGATGACTTATTTACATATAAGCTCTACTTCCTTCAGTAAAAAGCTTCATCGTGTGAAAAAGAACGACTACATATTTTTCTTAAAAGTCTCCGTCTTAAAAGAGCTGAGTAGTTTTACTAAAGGCAAGACAAGGGGAAAAAAAGGTTTGCTCTAAAGTGTACATGGAGATCTTTCTGTTGTCTGCTGTCAGTCTTTCAGCATCACTGACACATTTACGTTCGCTGCTCCTCTTGCTTCCTGTCCGGTTCCTGTCCGCTTCCTCCTCTGATCCCCCAGAGTCAGGCAGACGGTGAAAATAGGTAAAGAGTTAAAAAAAAAAAAAAAAAAAGAGCCGCTGGGTGTTTCCACCAGGCCACATTCTGCCTTTTCGGAAGGTTCTAGAGAATAAAGCAAACAAACAAAAAACACCCTGCTGCTGCTGCTCCAGCTCTGCTGCAGAGCAAGTGGCTCGTGGGGCCAACCAAGAGGGCAGGGGCCCCCCGGGATCCAAACGCCCTGTCACCGTGTAACAGTAGGCTCAGAATCGCTATAGCCGGCTGACAAGCCCAAAGTTGAATCGCTGAGGTCACAAGAGGTCATCATAGTCCAACAACTTGGAGTGCTGGCGGCTTTTCCAAAGGCGGTACAGGCGGAAGTCGAAGTACATCTCGATCATCTCTTTGCCTGCAGGGGGACACATGGGAAACAGAAGGTCGGCTTACGACGACGCTCAAATCAGGAAAACCGGATGTCACCAGCAGCTTCCTGCTGCATTCACAAACCTGATGAGCGTTCAGGTCATTTAGCAAAAATAAATCCAATTTTCTCCAAACTGATTGATCTTTTATTGTGGACCTGCTGGTAACAAGCCGGTTTAGTAACTTTATTTCATATTGATATTGATGAGTTCATGATTTTGTATCACAAATGCAGAAAAGTATAGAAGAGCTTCCATATCATCACCTTCCTAAAAACATCTATTGGAAAGTCAGAGGTCATCATTTTTTTTAATGACTTATCAAAAAGACAAATTCTAACCAATAAAAGCCAGAGGACTGACTTCCAAATCTATGCAGAATTAGCTTATTTAATTTTTTTCTTAGATAAAGAAATATTTACCGCATAATTTAATGGAAATCTTGACTACAGCACCGGTCTTATGGTTTCCTCAACGCTAAAGAAGCTGACTAGATAACCCGCATGGGGAAGTGATGCACATGGGTTGGAGTTGATGGAAGCTTATTTAATGACTGTCAGTCCAGTGATGAATGACTGAGTTGTCATCCGATTTGCTGGCCGTAATTTGATTGTTGAAGGCTAGAAGCGAGCTGCAGTCTTTGACTTTCTGCTGTGGTGTCATTTTTATAAGCCTGGAAATTTTCAACACACTAGAGCTGGGAGATCTTCCAAAATAATATCACAATATATATAGTTTTATACACACATAATGATATTACAGATGCTATTCCACATTTACTGTGTTTTCAGTTTCTTTTTATTTGGACAAATAAATATGTACCTTTAAAACAAAGCTGTTTTTATACTTTTTTTTTTAACTTCTCTTTATAAACAGTTATTAGAATACAAAATGTCATCAGATACAAATATATCCAAAAAACACACAATTAGCTTGCATGAATCAAAGAAAATATAAAATCCATTAATATAAATGTCAACTAATTTTGGGCAACAACAACAAAACACAGTTTGGAATAAGCTACCAAGGTAAATAAAAAAATCCTAAATCCACAAATGAAGCAAACATTTGATGCATTTTTCTCATGAATTCACTATTTTGTTTTATTTATTAGCATCTAATGATGATAAAATTGCCTGAGAATTATTCATGATGCTCTAGGAGGGCCCCTAGTATTCAGACCGTCATTAATAAGACTAATCAAAAAGTGTGAAGAGCTCTTGAGTTCCCTTTTATTTTCAAGCATCTAGCATGCTGAGCTCAATGATTATGTATCAGTGTAGAAGGAGAATTTATTAGATTACCTTATTACTTTCTCGTTTTATCATGATAAACTCAATGCTTACATTGTTTCCTCTGGCATTTAAAATGTACTTGATTTTAATGTGTCAATCATTTCTGTAACTATATTTTTCGGTAAAGCGCTTTGAATTACCTCCTGAATGTTAGTGCTGAACAAATCAACTTGGCATTCCATGCCTGAAGTTGGTTCAGTAGAAGCTGTGCACAGTAATTCTGGAGCATTTCTTTCCTGTAAAATTGTGTTTTTATTATGCATCACTGAAACAAAAAGCAGACATATCATAGTCTGAGCGCCGTACTGACTAGAAACTACTTACATATTATGTTGGAAGTCAAGTTTGAGAAACACAGCGAGAAAGAAATTATTCATTTTTAGCTCTTGATTATTGCTTCCTGTCTTTCAGTGGAAAAAGCTAAGTGATTGGTCGTAGCAGTGCAGGCAATGTGCAGGAAGAGGAAAAAGACAAAAGCAGGCCAGGAGGCAGAGCGTAGTGGGTCAATGGAAGACGGCGGCATGCACAGCTGAGATAATGATGTTTTATGAGCTACAGAATTAGCATGGCATCAATAGTTGTCAGGAAAATAACTGAGGGATTCATGAGGAGTGTAGCACGGCACTCTTTTCATCACTAGGTAGCTGGCAGTGATTTATGCTCACGATAAACGCAGCAACACGGAATCTAACTGAAGTCCATAGCACTCCAGCAATTCATGTTTGGTTTCCAAGATTTATTTTTGTTATTGTGTGTACCTCCTGAAAAGATGAAGTTTACTAATCAGTACTCTGTATATTTTGTTGGAAATTTTGTAAAGTTCCAAATGTGCATGCGGTTCTCTGACCTTGGGCTGACAGCTCTAGAGGAGACTTGAACTCAACAGACAACGGCCTCATCAGCCTCTTCAAAGTCTGGATAAGCTGCAAGAAGCACAAAGAGGCAGAAGGTGAGTGGAATTCTTTCAGCTCTCCCTTTTATTAGTCATTATTATTCATGAAACACAGGACAGAATTTCATTCCATTAAAACAAAAGATAAAAATGATTATGGAGACCTTTTCAACCTCAGCTTGTCATATTACCAATTAGCCCAATAAGAGTGGTTTGTTATTTAAAGAAATGTCATAAACTTTGTTTGATGATAAAAAACCCGACTTACAAAAACATTTTGGCAGACAGTGGGAAAAAAAATGTAATCTTTTAACACAGTGTATGCACATATTTCGTTTGATATGGAGATACAAACAACATGTTTATATCTGCATATCTTGCTCATCTCAAACAGGAAATGCAGATCGTTAGGCTGACGACCAAATGTTTCTAAAATGTTCCTCTCTGCCATTGCTCTCTGAGCAGCATCAGATATCAGTTTGTGACCTCATGTAGCTTTATGCACCGTCAGGCTAGAGTCATATACAGATGTGTGGATTAATAAAGCTTGTTCATACGTAAGCCAGATGCCATTGAAACTGGATCTGAAGATTTATTTGAAATTCTTACATTCTACATACGTGTGTTTATTGTCAATATTGTTGTTGTTTTCAATATTTAAAGACTGCTGGGTATTTGGCCAAACATAAATTGTGAATCATACATATTTTTGCTCTGTCCCAACTCCGAAAGATCTGTGATCATGGCTCTACAGAGGAGCTGCATCGGAACCATAAATAAAGCATGTCATCATGAATCCCAAAGACGAATGTTTGGGCATTTTTGAGTCACTGAGTTTTTAACGACCATCTGAGGACAAACTGAAACAACTTATGAAACAATTTGATGCGTCACAACTCTCACAATTGGATTTGACGTAAATCCATAGAAATGATGTATTCCACATTTAAATCCAGGGATACTGCAGAATATTTCATCTGCTGCAGTCTCACACTTTGCATGTGAATGCCTTTGAATCTGGAAGCATGTCGCATCTGACGATGCTTCAGCCTTCGGACCCGTCTCCACTTGTCTTCCGCCTCTTGCTCCACTTCCTCCCCTCGTCTTCCCCTGTGTTTCCTGGGGTCTGTTACAGCACCAGCTGGTGTGCAAACACCATTATTACCAAGTAGCCAAATGACTCTGCAGGTCTCATCTCAAGAGGCTTATGGTTAGTCAGGTTAGATTAGTAAAACTGGAGCAGGTAAAAATTACCTGTGCAAACGTTACATTTGAAAAATAATGAAAAAGTCATCACTTGAATTTTTTTAATAAGAAAACAGAAAAAAAAACATGGTTCATATTTTATAACTACTATTTGTGCTAAATTTTCAATTGATCTCATTCTACTTCTGCAATTAATCACAATTAATCACTTTACCTAATTTTGGACATTTGAAATAGAAATATGCATGCAGTCGTGGTTCTAACCAATTACAGTGCAGGTAATTATCTGATTATTTTTTTCAGCAAAAAGCAAGTAACCTTGTCTTCCAGCAGTCAACAGGAACTAACAGAAACTTGTTCCACTAAATTTGCACACAAGTTGAAAACTTGCTCAGGGAACAACTGACTTTGTTTTCTAGTTCTTGGGTGGCCCACCCTCTTCTGATGCTGCCCTGGGCAGCTGCCACTCTGTGCATGTTTTCAAAAAGAAAATGTTTAAGAAAATATGGTCTGCTGTTGTGGAAAACGTTCAAATTTTGCCGTTGTTGGTTTTTTGATTAAAGTAGGTGATGCAGTTCATCTGCATGATGTAAAACTAATACGTTACAATCTTCTGGCTCATACGTTAATGTTGACAGCTCTAATGTTTGTTTTCTTCTCCAGCATGATTTTAAATTGAAACAACAGTCTAATGTTTTGCTGATGCTCTACTTATACTAATAATTTCCCCCTTTTAAATCTTGATTTTCTTGGCATATTTTTGGTGCAATAAATCAAAAATACAAGTTGATAAATGAAGGCATAAATGCTGTTTCTTTTTTTTTAAAGAACCTTAATGTCTTACTTTTATTTAGGTAGCTGAACACTAACATTTGTGTTGTTCCTACTGAGTGATTTAATTAGTCGAGGTTTCTAGATAATTGTGTCGTTTGTTCAGAAAGTTTGTTTCCTCTAAGACTTACCACACCTCTAATACATAAAAATCTAATAAATGAACCCTGACAGCTGCAACAGCCGGCATCAATTATCTCTGTAGAAGTCAACCTCTGCTGATAAATGGGCAGGTGTGAGAGATGAAGAGCCCAGACATAGACTGGCACCTAAATGTCAAGGCATGTTGGGAGGTGGGAAATGTTCCTGGTCTGGGGAGGGAGAGGCCAGAGAGGAGCAGCAGCAAATGTCAGAACAAGACTGCCTCCAGCTTTAACAGGATTCAAAGAATCTCTTGATAACATCTGATATCATGGGCCACTTTCAGAGGTTTCAGAGGTTCGTCCACGCTTGAATTGATTGCAATCATTACGGTAAAATGCATTCTTGGCCTTCCGAGCCAGTGGTTAGCAGATGTCCATGTATCGTTCTCTCAAGATTCCTTGTCTTGACTTTGTGCGATTCTTATTTCATCACGACATCTAAGTCTGAATCTTTTAGCCTGTCACTGGAGTAGAGCCGACACATAATGCGGTACCTTCAGCAGGTAGCCCAGCCAGTCAGTCTATTCTTAGCAACACTCCAGCTGAGGCTCCAGGAACACACACAGGCAGCAGCGGGGGGACAAATTGTTAAATGCAGCGAATAAGCCCTTCCCTGTTCGCGGCCCTGCTTGCGCAACTTGTTCCGAACCACAGCGGAGGAAATGCTAAATGTCACACTGACTGCAAGAGCGGCGAGCGGCTGCCCTGCGTTCTTTGCAGAGTGGCTGAACAAGTTGAACACACAAAGGACTTTTATTCAAGTGCAGGATCTAACTTTAGAGGATCCGAGCAGAGAAGGGAAGATATTTTATTAATAGGAACAGACAAAACTTGCAACGCTGATCAAAGGGACAACAGAACATAAAGTGAACGGGAAGATCAATGAACAATGGGGAAATAAATGGGCATGAAAATGGGAATAATAATGGAAGGAGCCAATGAAGTACAATAGGAACAAATTAACTTATATACTGAGGGAGAGGTGGAGCTGACGAAGCAACCAGAAGGACTAATGAGAGCAATGGGAGCGGAGAGTGAAGGAGACAGATAACAGCTGTGAAGGGGAGCAGACTGACAGGCTGAGAGAGAGCTGAACTATGACGAGAGAAGTTATGAATCAAATGAAAACAATCGCACTGATCAAGCCAATGAAATCCTAAAGCAGAAAGAATAGAATTTAAAAAATGAATAAACTAGCAAAGAAGGATGAATGGCAAGTTGTAGGACATTAAAATAAAGAAAAAGGAATGGGATGAAACATGAAACTTAAGAATCACAAATCATAATGTTTTCAAAGAAAGAAATTAATCAAAAAGGTGGAGAGACGTTTTGGTGGACATGTTGATGAAATTAGACTAAAAGTTGAAATTATGAAAATAAATGTGCTTAATGAAAATTCACGTTTTGTAGTAAAACATTTTTATGTTTTTGGAATGAGGTGGATTTTTGCATAAATGGATGTATTTCCAGTAGCTGCAATGGAAACACCTTTTTCACACATGATTAACAACCTGATGTTACTGCTGGCAAAAAAGACAAATTCATAGCTCTTCTGTAAAATGGCCGACTACATCAACATTAAGCAACCTGGCTTAATGTTAAACGGGTCAGAGCTCTACTTTCTGATTTCTCCATCCTCTGATGCTCAATCACAACATTTCTAAGACATACACAGACATGCAGTTATCCATCCAGCGGCCTTTACTCTTCATCTACTCATCATCGCTCCTGATTTACAACTCTGGACGGTGGCAAAAGAGCAACATGTGTTTGAGCCTGTAGTGTCAGCAGGGTAGCATGTCTGGATGGGGCAGCATGTCTAAATGCGATCGCTTTGGTGGGTGGGCATATTTCAGGTGCATGTTATTATGAGTGTCTCTGTATGGTTAGTGTGTCAGTCTCTGTGGGGGAGGAAGAGTTGCGGAAGGAGCTCGAGTGTGAAAGTAAATGTGTGAACACGTAATTAAAGCGAGAGCGAGCATGAGCGTGTACGTGCAGCTTAATATAGCAGCTGTGGAGAAGTCGACGCTCCCCATCCTTTAAGAAGCGCAGTAGGTGCCGGTTAACTTGTTCTTCACTCAGGACCCACAGTCAGCAACACCCACCACCACCACCCTCCCCACTCGCCCTGACAGCAGGACCACAAGCTGCTGTCAATGCAATAGTCTTTTGCAATTTCCAGTTTCATGCAAGTAGAAACTAAATGTTTTGCAAGGATGACATGAACTGAAGGCTTGAATGATTGATCTGTACACAGCAGCAGAAAGCATCTCCCTCTGTGGATGTTTAGAGGAAGCAGGAAGCATAACAAGATGTGGACGTCTGGCTTCAAACTCACCTTCTCTCCGTTTGCGCTTCCCAGCACATAACAACCCATGATGTGGATCAGGTTGGGCTCCGGGTTCAGTTTGCTCATCAGCCTGCTGAGGCGGCGCCAGAACCTGATCACACGACGAAGACAAGACAACGAGAGCAGTCCACTATGAAAACCAACAAAAACCGTCACGCTTGTTTTTATTTCTTCAGTTTTAATATTTACAGTTTCTTGCAAAAGTATTGATGCCCATCAGATTTATTTTTCTGGGGTTGTCTGTGATAGACCAAACTAAAAGTGAAACCCGAAACTCCAACTGTGTCATTGTTGAAAAAATGTTAAAGGAAAATTCTTCATAGTCTCAAACCAAACATCTCAGCTTTCCAGGTTTCTACTTTCATGATGGTTAAAAATAAGTCATTTTGTTTCAAACATAATCGTCAGATTTATTCATCATAAACTGTCTGTGTTTTGGTAGAAAGATAATTCATCATTGCGATAAGCACATATTTTAATGGTTTTACCCAGAAATCCATTGTTGTTTTTTAAAGTGAAATTTTCCGCTCAGCTCAGCAGTCTGAACTCCAGCGACCAAAAACAAAATCAGTTTAGGTCTAAAAACGAAATGCGGTTGCTCTGCATTATGTAACAATATTAACGAGCTAAACTTTTTAAATTAATCTAATGCGTTCATGATGACAGTATATTTTTCTTCCATGAATGTTTCCATCCTGTAACTACTGATGTCAGAAGCTGGGAAGATGACTTACTGCACCATGTCTTCCTCCTTCTCCACCTTGGCAAAGGTGGCCACTTTATTCTTCAGCAGGTAGAGATGTCCCGGACCCCCCTGAGGAGGAAACAGACCACTTAGCAAATGAAAAACACGCAGACTGACAGCTGAGGTCAGAGCTCTGAATATAACCTGCTGCTGGTGTTTGACATAAACAGAAGAATAAAGACACATTATCACAGAAGGCTAAAAGCTACTGTATGTAACTTTTATTAGCAAGGTTTTTTTTTTATTTTATTTTATGTTTTTACATATTTGCAGCAGAGCAGCAGAGTTTTGTAACAGTTGAAGGCTGGACAGATTTTTCTCATGGGCATCACATGAGTCTAAACAGCTGGAAATAAAATCAAGCATCTAACAGTTTGACAGCATGTTGAATATGTGGAATAACACTAAGGTCAGAATCAAAAAGAACCACCAGGCTTTTGTCTTTGGAAGGATTAAAAGGTAAAGTTCGTCCTTTCTGAAAAGCATTTTCTTTCTGATCCTGCGTTCCAATGATTAAAACTTCTGTTTTGTCCTGTTTGAGCGGCATATTTTAACTGCAATGCAGCGATTGGTGATCATGAGACAATGAGAGTCATCAGCGTTAGACCATGTTTCCTGACGACTCCACCTAGTGGCAAAGTGTATAAGATCAAAAGATAGAGCCTTGGGAACAATAATGTCATATCATATATGTGCTAATTTAGAAGAACTTAGCTTCACTAATTAATCTGAAGGAAACAAACTTCCAGAAAACAGCAAAACAGCTGAAACACTGAGTTCCTTTAAGTCAAGACTAAACACCATCCTTTGTAGAGTGGCCTTTGAAACAGTGAACAACATACATGATGTGTGTTGATGTCTTTCATGATGGACCTCGACTAGATTCTCAAACTGGTGACAAATGTTTTATTTTTCGGTTTTTATGATGTAAAGCCCTGCAGGAACATGCTGTACACATAAACTTGATCGTTTGATTCATTAGGTAAACATTTAAATTTTTCCCCTATTCTACCAGAATACAATTGTACCTAAAATAAGTTTCTTTGTGGATTTTGACCCACAAATTAAATGTTACTCTGTGTGCTGGGTTGGCTTCCCATACAGTATAACATGATGTATTATGATGTTGCTCACCTGGCAGAAAATAAGCATGTTCCAGATCCGGCAGCCCTTCCTGTAGGCTGTCAGCTTCTTCTCTATCTCTTCTGGGGAGGGAAGGAGAAAGAGAGGTGTCACTTTTCCCACTCAGTGTTCACGGAGTGAAACAGAAAGTGGCCGTGCCTCCAGAGACTCACACAAACACGACAGCACAAGAAAACGAGTCATCTCTGCACTCCGGCCAGCTGAAACTTATTCCAGCCCCACCATCACAACATGAGCCATTTTCACCTCAGCACTGTTGTTATTTAAAGAGGGAAAGATTAGCGCTTACCAAGGATGTCGTCGAAGGTGGCGTGCTCGTGGTCCTATAAATAGAGCATTCATACCACATTACTATGGAGTTCAACAAGGAAGGAAAATTCAGCAACTCGTAAATTTAAAAATGAAAAAAAAAAAAAAAAGAAAAGCGCATAGACCAGTTTTTACTCAATAAGTAATAAGTTTAAGGACAAGGCTGAGTGTCTGTTGTTTTTTGAAATGTATTGATTTAATTTTAAACTCATTTTCAGATTAATCTGAGATTTTCAGACTCTGGTTTATGTAACGCTTCAATCCTGCAAAACAGATTCTAGACAATCTCTCTGTTAAACAAAAACATTGTTCAATATTTCTTTCCTGCAGTGTTCATCACTCTTTATTAATATTAAGTTATGCTGTTAAAATTTAAAACTGTCTAACATCTCGTTTTAGCATAAGCAACTTTAAACTGTAGTTTTTTTATTTTTTATTTTGAATCTTTCCTCATCTCAAGATTTTCAAAACACTATTAAGGGTCAGAATTTACAGCATAATCAAATAACTGCAAACTGATCAGTTTTGAATAACTTAACAATGATGCAGTGTTGTCACACCAATTATGTGATTAATTTTTAAATATACTATATCATCAACAGTTGAAACTCACATATAGAATAGGGATGATGGAGGGGTCGTCCCTGCGGATGATGTTGGGAACATACTCGGCCTTCGGTACCTTGGAGGATATGAGCTGTGGATTTATAGAAAACATTTACATTAACTGTAGTGTCACATACAGACACAAAGCTGAGATTGAAAAAAAATAAAAATAAAAATTGGTCCTGGTTTTAACAAAACCTAAACCCCCAAAATCACAAAAACGCCTACAAGTCAAAGGTTTGGTGGTATATCAAACGTCTGACCACTTTTTATATTAATATATGTCAAAATAAAAAGTATTGATATCAATGACACTGGCAATGATCCGGATCAAGACCAAAATATTCAGTGGCACACACTTCTATATTCTATTAATACTATTGATGATCTTAAACATTTGGGCATGACAAAATACAAAAACTGATGGGATGTTTATATTCATTCCATAAATCGAAATACTATTTTGGGTCAAAGTAAATTTAAGAGGAACTTTTCAGAATTGCTCTGCTGGCTAACCTAAAACTAAAACCTAAAACTTTCCTGATTTAGGACTTTGAATGGAAAACCTGGGGAATATCTGGGAAAACCTGGAAGGTTATTGACCATGATTTTCGGTGGGATGAAATCGTCTTCTTCGCAGGCCGCCCTCTCCAGATCCCTCTCCTCCTCCCAGTCAGCATCCTCATCAAGGCCTTCATCTAGAGTCCCTGAGGAGGTCTGAAGCTCGCCACCTGACTCGCACACAGGAACAAAGGGCGAGTTCAAAGAACAACACACACACATGCACACACACACATAAGGGAAAACCCTTTAAAAGTGCTGGACCTGTTACTTGATTTTTCCAGCACAGTGGGGGAGGAACGGAGGAGTTAGAATCAAACAGCAGACAACACAAAGCAACACGGCTGCCGTCTCCTTCCGCACTCGGCCACATGCAAACAGACGGGACACCAAGCAACAGGCAGACAGTCGGCAGGCTGCAGGGTGGAGATGTCTCTGTGGATGAGGGCGGAGGACTTCGCTGACAGACAGAGCTACAGGACGCTGCATGTTGGTCAGTTCCTCTGTTTGCACTGCGTCTGCTCCTCTGTTGGAGCTCATGCTGACCTGTGTGCATGTCGGTCAGTTTGCAGGATACAGCGGCCTGCAAAAGCATCGATGTCCCTTCAACTCTTTAGTTTTATTAAATGCATTTATTTACTGGTGTTGCATACAGGCCTGTCACAGTTTTGCTGGAAATTCATTTGTCCTGCTAATTATTGTGATAAATTATGTCTTTGTTCTGTTGAGCCTATTTTCAAATATTGATTATAACATAAAATCTCCATCTTAAAGCTGCAATATGTAAGTAACTTTTATAAAAATATATTTTTGCATATTTATTGAAACTCTCAACATGTTGTGACAGTATGGTGTGAGATTGACAGTCTGTAAAAAAAAAAAAATCAGATTTATCCCAGTACTCCCAGTGCAAAAGAGAACCAACCAATCAGAGCCAGAAATGGTTGTTTCATTGTCCTGTGTTAGAGGCCTTGCATTAACAGCTTAAGAGCGACTCTGTCCTGCCTGGAGAGAGTTGCTCTGTTCAGAAATCACTCTTCCAGACCTTCCAGCTCAGTAAAGGAAGGTCACTGACCTGGCAGAGCATTCTTCAATAAGCCAAACATGAGCAGCCGGCTGCAGTAGAAAAACTGAGCAACAAATAAAAATAAAAATGTGTCCACCTTTAAACCTGATGTAATCCAGCTAAAAGAATAACTATAAAAACTGGGTTTAAGTAACTATGAGATGAAGACAGGAGAGAGCTATTTAATCAATTTGACTGAACTGAAATTATTTTTTGTAAAGTGCTTTGAATCCACTTTTGTTGTGAATTGGCACTATATATATAAACTCAACTGAATTGGTTAGAAGTGACAGAGTTCAAGGGGCACAAATGATTTTGTACAGCCATACTGCACCACATGTAAATGAACACTAAAACACAGAGTGTGTGTACCGTGTAGACTGCACAGTTAAGAACTTCTCGTTAACGGGAGTGACTGAGAGAGCATGGACTCACTGTCTCTGGAGTCATGAATAGACTCGGGCTTGACGGGGGTGGGATCACTCCATGAGCGGCTGAAGCTCTTGGCTCGGCGGTCGACGAAGGCTGACAGGATTAGGGGGGAAGAGAGTCACTTACACATGATTATCAGTGATGACTGAAGGCTCACTGGTCCTGCATTCCAAACAACGGGAGCGTCAAAGTGATTTAAGAGTTCCTCCTGCCACTATGGGCTCATCCCACCAGCCACCACTCAGCTGCACGACCACAAGGCCAGTGGGAGAGAGCTGAGGGATTATTTATTTTTTCACTTTATGCAAAAACTGTTGGATTTTTGTTTTCTGAAGACAAAACTGCTATTAGAAAGTTAGCCTCAATTAATTTATTGAGAAATCTGTGTAAATGTATAATTTATTTTCACTACAGATTATTTTACAAAATTGTTTCAGACTGACAGAATCAATTTAAATCAAATAAAATTTAAAAAAACACTTTTATTGATTCCAAAGTGAAATTATCTTGTCGCCAAAGAGGAGTTGTTGAAAACATTAAAAATCAAATAAATGATTGATAGATTTATTTGAATTTCCCTCTTAATTTGTGTCTGATATCTTATAATGATACTATGGAATGGCTTTGACCTGTTCTCCAATACTCAAAGGGCATCGATTTTCATTTTTCAACCCCTTTAGGAAAATGTAACCTTCTGGGAAAACTGCTTCAATTTTCATTTATGCACCTCATATTTATTGAACATAATGAATCAGGTCCGTAGACCCTGTCTGTGACAGTTGGTGTGAAGTAAAACATGGGCAGGCCCAAACATTTCACTCTGCCCCTGAGTCACACGTTTGACAATCTAGATTTTAACATGCCTCCTACTGCCAGAAGTTGAATAGAAAAACATTTTTTTGCTCTTTACAAGACTTCAATCTATCCTAGGAAAACTTTCCAGTGATTAGAAAGGTTTTCCACTTAAGTTGCCGAAGAGGAAGAAAATTGTTTTTTCACTTCTACTAATAATTTGAACTTGGATAAAAGGGATAACACATGTCGGTTTTCATATCTGCTAAATACAATATATAAATGCATCATGCAGCAAAGGCTTGGTCAACTTCAATAACATCAAATCAAGACATCCCTCAAGGTGCTTAACTTGACACTCTTTTTTTTAAAGATTTTTTTCATTCAGACTGGAAATAGATGAAGACAGTGAGACAGGAGAGTACAAGCTGCAAAGGTCTTAAGGTCAGGAATTGAAGTGAGGACGACTGCATTGAGGTTTAATAGTCTCTGTTAGCATCCATTTTTCCTCTACGCCAAGCCCTGTTGGCACCAAATGTGTCACACACCGTTTTAATGGCAAGACACTAATTTAGGAAATCAAAATTAAAACTACACCATTAGTTATGTGAAAGAAATCAGGGACAGACAAATGTTTGACTCTGTCTAAACATGCAAGCTGCAGGCAGAGGCTTTTTGAACAGGTTGCAATGGGTTACTTTCACACTAAATTCAAGAATAAAGCTGTTTAAATAAGCATTAGTTTTAAATAGCATAGTGTTCTTGATATAAATACCTCATAGCAACTAAAAAATGCACATAAACCAGAGTAAAAGAAAAAAACAACAACAACAAAAAGACTATATTTAAACTGCTCTAACATGTCTTACATCCTGCCAAACAAAAAGGACTTGAAGTTAGAATACATAAACAATATTAATGACACAAGAGCCACACACAGAAATACACCAGTACTGTACACCAATCAAGACACTCCAATGTTGATTGGTGTACAGTACTGGTGCCAAACAGTCATCACTAGGAAGGACTAAGCTCCTAATTACAACACGATCTGTCCCGACATGCTGAAGTAAAGTCATGGCCAGACGTTTTTGCAGTGACACAAGTGTTGTGTTGTCCAGACAGAAGCTTCCACTATCTGCAAAGAACTCTGCAGTGATCAAACTTCCTTCATCAATCCAGAAGCGGTTTGGTGAAGACGTATGTTTAAGCTTGGATGAAATTGCAAATCACAAGCTAAAAAGGTTTTAGCCACAAAACAAAACAATGCTTTTGCCTCTACCTACGCCTTCAGGCCATGACTGTGCAGTACGATGCAGGAAGCATGAATTTACATGTGATGAGCATCTGTTCTGATGTTATGGTGTAAATCACAGCGAAAACAGACGCAAACAAACTGACATCAACAGACGTTCTTGCAAACAGACTTACTTTGAACCTTCACCCTGCGACTGCCAACCATCCTGAGGTGCTTACGAAAATTTCTACAAGTGTAAGAAAAAGAACAAAGGAGAAATGTCACAAATGCATGAAAGAAACTGAAAATGAGAATACTCTTAAAATCAAGAGGATGAAAAGATATAGAGGTTAGAGAGGTTCAGCAGAACTCTTGTTTCTAACAGGACCTTCTCTTACTCCCCAGCTGTCCATTAATACGCTAATACACCAGTACATATCATGGACAAAGTAAATCAGTGTGAACTCTGACTACAGCAGAGTAGTCAGAGTATTTCAGATTCTTCAAAATTCAAAATGTGAACAGAAAACAGTGATTGTAACACAGCTTCTGGTTTCATGCTATGAACCTCCTGTGCAGAGGACCTACGTGTGTCCAGCTGCATTAGCTGCTGCTGCCCTCGCTAGTGTGCTAAAGCGTTAGTTAGACAGCTGAGGAACCTTCATGGATGAACTCACAGCAAAATAAGATCAACATAAAGAAACAACATAAGTTGAATATCTGAAGCATATTCATTGTTCATTTCTGTCCTTTTGTATTTACACACTGATATATGTACTGTTTCTTATATCTTCTTACCCTGCTATGATTTTCTTAGTAAAATTATTTCATTCACGTCTAGAAAATAGAAGCATATAAACTCTTTTGTGAAGGCAGGTTATTAAAGGAGGTGTTCTGTCTTCAGGTGAAGCATTTGCTGCTGTGATGAGGTGTGTGACACTTGACGCGGCAGGTCCCAGCCCCACAGCTCATTATTTTTAATGAGTCCCACCTCTGCACCCTGTTGACCCGAGCTTTTGCAAAACAGGCGTGTTGGTTTTTCAACTGAAAGGGGCAGTCTTATGTAAAATCAATTTTTGGGAGCTTTACATCATGTTATCATGTTATTCCCTCAATAAAAACACACGTGGAGTGTTTCCTATGTTCGTTCATACGTGTTTGAGAAATCATTTCATCTCCCATGGCAACCATTCTGGGGTGTCTGAACGCTTGCTCCTACAAAGCGTTGGCTTTTCCACAAAGCTCTCCCTTGGAGCTTCTGACTCAGCTCCATCAAACTAGCGGCAGCAGCAGTACCAAACACCAGGTGGAACTGCAAGTCTAATGAGCTTCTTAAAGACACAGATGCCAAATTTCAAGGTGTCACATTTCTTTTACAAACAGCATTTATTTATAAAAGAAAATAACAAGAGGAAGTGTCAGTTGTTATTTGATTGTGCTAAAAAAAAAAAATAAAATAAAAAAAAACACTATACACCCCCTTAATAATGCAAAAATGCTAGCCTAAATGTGTGCAGGTTAAAATGCACATGGGTGTGCAATAACATGTGGAATTTGAAGCCAGTTCGAGGACTCTCCTCACTGCAGAGCTTTAATTTAGGCTGCAAACAAAAAAAATGAAGAGAAGTTAAGATGTCAGAGCTGACTGCAGGGGTTGTGAAGGCAGGTCCTAAAATAGAGAGATGACTCACAGGAGAGGGGATCCATCAGTCTGCTGCAACTGTATTTTCATGCTGAGCGACATAGCATCACACCCGCCAGCACGGAGGATTCCAAACAATAATCCCAATCCAAATCAATCCGCAGCCACGTCTCTACTTTCTTTCTTATCCAACTGTTGCCTCTCCCACATTATGAAAACTCTGTGACATGTAGCTTTTCTCACAAACCCCCCCTGAATTCTGAGTGTCAGCACACACTCAGGAAAAGCAAATGAACCTCATACTAAAGTACAGGCTGTGCTGTGTGTCTCAGGCCTTGGTGGATGTGGAATCTCCAGCCAAATATTGGCAGATTTGTTCCCTCAGAGTGCCAGCCGCAGAGCCGAGAGCCGCAGCAACGTGCTGACAGACTGCTGTAGCAGATCAGTGTTTGGTGAGAAACAATGATTAAAACCTGCTGTACCCATTCTTAGCACCTCACAGTGTAAATAAGACACAGGACTTTGGCTTCTGTTCACTGAATCGTGACTGTGGGGTTACTAGAGCCACAAGCCAGGAAGACGTCATTATAAACTGCCAGTGAAGAGTTTTAACCTCAGACTGAAACACATTTGTAACGTAATGCTCACCCAGGAAAGGCTTTCAGAATAAATCAATAACAATATATATCATTAAAGACATGTGGTCAAAATCAATACATAATGCATTTAATGAAATATTCAACATATCACCTTCCTAAAGTACTGGCCTGAGAGATATTTTGTCTAAAGGGATTTTTTTTTTTTCTCCAAATCACTTATGGCACAAAATGACAAAAACCATTACTGTAGGAAGGTGTAATACATAGAACATTCACTGAACTATTATCCAAAATTACACAGCATTCTGGGAGATGTAAGCAGATTGAAGGCTAATCCTTTCCTCTGCTTGACAGCAGTTGCTACGCCAGGCATCGACTAGTTCACACACTCATGGGTTACCTAGCAACTACTTGGTGACTTTCTTCACCAAATCTGACAACTGCTTGAAAAAATAAACAAAGGTCAAACCACTCAGTATTTTGGAGATCTAAAACAAAAAAATTAGTCAATTATTATCAATGTTGACAAGTCTCAACATAGACTGATATGAAACGTTTATACTGTCACACCCTCCAGCCCTGCTTGAAATTGGACCTAAAATTACCCAACACAGTAGGATCGAGACCAGATGTCTTTACCAGAGGTTGCACTACAGCAACAAGACAACAGGCAACGAACCAAGTGCCCAAAACAACAAAAACCTGTGAGAAAACATGGTGGAAAATTATCACATGCAGCACCAGAGGGCCAAATCTAGCCAAATACGTCCTCTAGAGCAGAACTGGTTCAGACAGCAGAGGAGTCAGAGTCTGGGCAGAAGATGAGAGGCCTCATGAAGGTGACCTTAGCAATGAAAAACAGCATCAAATTACTGAACCAGAACTTCAGAAGTTTGGAACTTCGGAACTTCTGGTTCGGAAGTATCACAGACTTCCAAACCAGAAGTCTGTGGAACATTAAGAAAAGAATCAACAGCACTAAAAGGCACAAAAAGGGTGTGCCTGTGAGATAAAATAAGATTAGAACGTTGTCCTATTGGGCCTCTTTAACTGTCCCAGTAAAAGAGCCAGCAGTCTCAGGATCTGAAGGGACAGCTTGTCTTTTCTCAGTCTGCGTTCGGCCCCATGTCTGACGGCTCCAAGCCTTTCCTTCCACCATGATTCAGGTTTAGCTCCAGGCTGTTTGAGCTTCAAGGCAGCCACAGTATCAGTTTATACTGACAAGCAAAGTCAAATTTATTATTTTGTTGTACACAATGTTGGCCAGTAAAGCTGATTTTGATTTAACAAATATGACAGAACTCCACTTCCCTCATAAACTCCATTATTTCTTGACATTTAGACCGATGTAGCACTTGTTCTTCAAAATGCTCCGATATCAGGCAAGACAGGAAACAGAGTGACAGCAACGTTACTATCTGACCACTGACCTTATCTCTTTTCTGAGTGGAACAAAATTCCGGTCTCTGTCTCAGATCTTTTAAGCTAAAGGACTTTTTTAAATTATGGTATCCTTTCTTACTAGAAGCCAGACAATGCCTGCTAATGTCTACTTTCTCCTAAGCCTGTTTTGATTCTCAGTCGTCTGGGTCATTTCTATTACAGCCAGACTTCCACTCAGTTTTTCTGAAGATATTTTCACACATATCAGCAGTCTTTGACAATTCTGGAGACTCACAGTGGAGCAACTAGAACCGTGATAGGATTGCTTAAAGGGGCAATATGTTTTATATATATATATATATATATATATATATATATATATATATATATAAATTCCCTTCTCACCCACCGCGGGTGGTTCTTATCCTCTGAGCTCGGGTCCTCTACCAGAGGCCTGGGAGCTTGAGGGTTCTGCAGTATCTTGGCTGTGCCAAGGACTGCACATTTCTGGACTGAGATGTCTGATGTTGTTCCTGGGATCTGTTGTAGCCATTGCTCCAGTTTGGGGGTTACTGCCCCGAGGGCCCCGATGACCACAGGCACCACTGTGGTCTTCACCTTCCAGGCCCTCTCCAGTTCTTCCCTGAGGCCCTGGTATTTCTCCAGTTTCTCGTGCTCCTTTTTCCTGATGTTGCAATCACTTGGTATTGCTACATCTACCACAACGGCTTTCCTCTGTTGTTTATCCACTACGACAATGTCTGGTTGGTTCGCCATTACCATTCTGTCTGTCTGGATCTGGAAGTCCCACAGGATCTTAGCTCTGGCGTTCTCCACCACCTTTGGGGGTGTTTCCCACTTTGATCTCAGGGTTTCCAGTCCATATTCTGCACAGATGTTTCTGTACACTATGCCTGCCACTTGGTTATGTCGTTCCATGTGCTTTCCCTGCCAGTATCTTGCACCCTGCTGTTATGTGCTGGACTGTCTCAGGGGCCTCCTTGCACAACCTACACCTTGGGTCTTGTCTGGTGTGGTAGATCTGGGCCTCTATTGCTCTGGTGTTTAGGGCCTTTTCCTGGGCGGCCAGGATGAGGGCCTCTGTGCTGTCCTTGAGTCCAGCTTTTTCCAGCCATTGGTAGGATTTACTGATATCAGCCACTTGGTTATTTGCTGGTGGTACATCCCATGTAGGGGCTTGTCCTCCCATGATGGTATCTCTGGCACCTCGACCTCCGTTCCCTGTTGTCTGAGACATTCACTGAGCACATTGTCTGTTGAGGCTTTGTCCCTGATGTATTTTATGGATCTTAGTTGTTTCGTCCTGGACAGTGGTTCTCACACTCACTAGTCCTCTGCCTCCTTCCTTGCGGCTCGTGTACAGTCTCAGGGTGCTGGATTTGGGTTGGAACCCTCCATGCATGGTTAGTAGCTTTCTAGTCTTAGTATCTGTGGCTTTTATCTCATCCTTTGGTCAGCTAATCATTCCAGCAGGGTATCTGATTACTGGCAGGGCATAGCTGTTTATCGCATGGATTTTGTTCTTGCCATTGAGCTGGCTTCTCAGGACTTGCCTTATTCTTTGGAGGTATTTAGCTGTGGCTCCTTTCCTTGTGGCCTCAT